GGTACATAACAACAACAACAAACAACAAACATTAAAGATGACACAACCTTGTGCTGGCTGAAACTGAAGAAGACCTGAAGCACTTGCTGCAGAAGGTCAAGGACTATAGTTTGCAACATGGATTGAAGCTCAACATCAAGAAGACAAAGATTCTCACTACTGGGCCAATTGGCAGCACCATGATAGATGGAGAAGAGACTGAGGTTGTTAACAATTACACTTACTCAGCTCCACAATTAACACTTTTAACACCAGCAGTCAGAAAATCAAAAGGCAAATTGCATTGGGAAAATCAGTTGTCAGGGACCTCTCTGGATTTATAAAAAGCAATGATGTCAGTCTAGAGACTAAGGTGTGCCTGATCCAGGCCATGGTCTTTACACTTACTTGTTATGGTTTCAGAGAGCTGGACAATGACTAAGGATGATAGAAGAATAATCGATGCCTTTGAATTTTGGTGCTGGAGAAGAGTCTTGAACATATCACGGACTGCCAAAAAAACCAATAGGTTTCCCTTGGAGAAGGTGAAACCAAGTTTCTCCTTGGAGGCTAGGATGTTGAAACTCTATCTCACATACTTTGGGCACATGGCCAGGAGAGAAGGACATCACACTCGGAAGGGTGAAGGGATAGCGCAGGAGAGGAAAACCCCAGATGAGATGGATTGATACAGTAACTGGAAGGCACATAACAATAACAACAACAAAAACAAGTTATATTTGTTGTTTTTTTGTTTAAGCCCCTCGTATAGTCAACAAGATCTTGTGGAGGTCCTTCATATTTAAAAGTCAGTTGGTTATATTTTGGAGGAACATTCTTCTAAGTTGTATGGCACTCTTCTGCCAATTTGCTGTACTGAGATAACCTGGGGTTGCTGTGTTGCTGAACCTTGTGCCACTGGGGTGTGAAATTCCATAATGGTTACCCACTGTGAAGCTCCTAGTTTAAGACAGGTTTGGAAGCAAGAGTGGTATCCACTTCCTAAACAACATGCCTCTGGAAACTCTATAAACTTTGAGAAATGACGATAGTTATAAAAAAG